GTACAGCGTTGCCGTTCCCTCTCCATCTGGCGGGTATTTAAAATAGAAAATAGAATTCTATTTCGATATTTTTCAAGTATTGAGTGGGTGTGGTGTTTTGTTTACTTTAAAAATGGAAAATTTTAACTTTTAATATTTTATTGGTTAAATATTAATTTATTTTAACCTTCCATCGCGAGTTTTATAACATCATTAGTCACGCTGTATCACAGAGATACATATACTAAATCATTGATAAAAAAATTGAACCATCTGATGAATTTCGGTTTTACAATTTCTATGTATTGATTCGGGTACTCAACAATCAAAGATAGAACATTTTCACTGAGAAAGAGATTCCAGAAGTTGAATTCTATTTTCGCTATCTTAATGTTTCGAGCGCGCTCGGACTGCTCGGAGTTTACCGAGTGTAAAGCCACTGTGTGCAGAAGCTAGTTTCTGGATAGGAATTAGCAAATAAGCTATCCAAGTGCTCCTAAATAGTCGAAGAAGAACAGTCATTCAGATTTTTTTCATTACCAGGAATCACCTTTTCTACATTTAAAATCGATGAAGAAACAAGCACAACCTGAATCGCAAGCATCCCATCGAGGCTTGCGGGTGACGTCACCACTATAAGAGGCTATGCTGCTAATAGTACTAACGTCACTCGCAGGCCTTGCCGACTCGAGAATTGGCGAACGTACGCCTTATAAGGAAAAGCAATCCTATAGTTTATGATTCTTGCTATGCAAGTGTTTCCAAATAGTCAAAAAAAATTTGATCAGTTAATCATTAAACTAAATAGAGATTTTTTCTCATTATTAGGAAATGGAAATTGTTGGCTTCACGTTTAACTAGTTGGTGGTTAAAAGCTAAATTTTTTCTGGATAGGACATAGGTGCTCAAGTGCTCCTAAATAGTCAAAGAAAAACATGAATTAGTTATATTATTTGAATTATAGATTTTTTTTGTATTATTATAGGGAACTGAACTACTGGCCTTACGTTTACTTGGGGGTGTAAATATTTGCAGCGAAACTGATAACACTGATAACAGTGGCTATAATGTTGTAATAATTGGAATTAGGTGCTATCTTAGTGCTCCTGAATAGTCGAAGAAAAACTTGAACTATCTAAAACTTCAACTTTTTGGGAGCACTTAAATAGCACCAAATTCCAATACAACATTTTAGTCGCAGTTTTCAGATTCGCTGCAATGCAAATACATCCCCAAGTAAATGTAAAGCCAGCAATTCCTTAATGAAAAAAAAATTTGTACTTCAGTTTAATAATTAACTGATTCAAGTTTTTCTTCAAATATTGAGAAGCACTTAAATAGCACTAATTCCTATCCATAAACATTTTAGCTCTGACACACCACCAACTGAACGTGAAGCCAATAATTTGCCAATATTGAAAAAAAACTGTAATTCAGTTAATAATTAACAGATTCAAGTGTTTCTTTGACAATTTAGGAGCACTTAAATAGTAGGTACCTAAATTCAATCCAAAAACATTTCAGCCTTTAACGGTTTAACGGCCAATTTCATGATAGAGAATTAAAAGTTACTTTAGCTAAATAGACTTTTAGGATGGGATTTTTCTACTTCAAATGGACCTTTATATTTAAAGTTTACTTTAAGTTGATTATGAAATTGGCTGTAAGCCTCTAACACACCCCCAATAAGTAAACGTGAATCCAGGAATTTCCTAATATTGAAAAAAAATCTGTAATTCAGTTAATAATTAACTGATTCAATTTTTTCTTTGACCAGGTATTTAGGAGAACTTTAAAAAGCATATTATCTAAATTCTGATACCAAAGAAAAATTTAAAAAAATATTTTTCACTACAGGGGACTGCTATATTTCATATTAACCTAGCAATCCCTTCGTTTTTTTCCATATGGGACTGCTAGGTTTATTGACCTAATATTCTGGGAAATCAATAAATAATACAACCCCATATGATTTTAAATCTGGGGAGATACTTTGATAGGTATATGTATTATTGACTTTACATTTATAAATAATTTTACACGTCTGTATAAACTCTACAAGGACTCTACGCTTTAATAAATAAGTATATTATATATTTCTAAAATCTTAACTCTACTGTAGACTGTAGTTAATAAAAATAAAGTCCACAATCATTCACTAAATACAAATACATTTTTTAATTTATTTTTATTATTATCAGCTGATTACACCAGATGTTCCGCGCGCCCGCCGCGTACACAAACCTTCATAAGCTTCAACTACTCTTGCTACTCCTCCGCGATCATGTTAACTGATCCCGATCATAGCCGATCGCGTTCGTGAGTAGACCATTTGCGGATTAGCACAAATGCACAGTAGCACAAATGGAGCCATCTCTTTTTTGATAGAGAAACGGTCTAAAAAGCAATTTTAAGAACAATTTGGGTTGTTTTTCCGTCTTTAATGCGGTTTTCAATCAAAAATACGCCAGGAAATGAACTTGATGAAAATAATCACCAGTTTGGATCAAAAAATTCGTTAGGAATAGTTTTTCCATTGTTTTAAGCTTGAATTTGATGGTTAAACGCGTATTTCAAGCCATATTTTCATTTGGAAGTGAAGTTAATCCAGAAAATGCGAAAATAATTCTATCTCACAATAATTTCGGATAATTTACTTTTTTGATAGAGAAACGGTCTAAAAAGCAATTTTAAGAACAATTTGGGTTGTTTTGCCGTCTTTAATGCGGTTTTCAATCAAAAATACGCCAGGAAATGAACTTGATGAAAATAGTTTCGTTCAAAACATTCGTTAGGAATGGTTTTTCCATTGTTTTAAGCTTGAATTTGATGGTTAAACGCGTATTTCAATCCATATTTTCATTTGGAAGTGAAGTTAATCCAGAAAATGCGAAAATAATTCTATCTCACAATAATTTCGGATAATTTACTTTTTTGATAGAGAAACGGTCTAAAAAGCAATTTTAAGAACAATTTGCGTTGTTTTGCCGTCTTTAATGCGGTTTTCAATCAAAAATACGCCAGGAAATGAACTTGATGAAAATAATCACCAGTTTCGATCAAAACATTCGTTAGGAATTCTGATTAGTGGCGGTTCGAGTTCTTTATCTTTGAAGTAGAAACAATAGGTTTGTTTTGGAACCATGTTTTCTTTGATGAACTTGGTAAAAAGTTCATCATTTCTTGTTTTTGAAACTGTAAGGTGTATTCTAGTTTTATTGAAAATAGTCTCTCTATGAACCTTGTAATATAATGGGTCTTTTTGGCTAGAGATTATTATTTGATTTTTATAAGTGTTAATACTTTTTTCTGTATAGGTAGCGCCTATTATGGGGTCGCTGTGGCTTGAATGAGCTGTTTCATTATCTGTATCTTCAGTGGTATTCGTAATTGGGGCAGATTCATTGCTTCCTGTTGCTGGGTGAATTGTATTATTCGCGGGTTTTATAACGACATTTTCGCGAATGACTACCTTTGAAGTTTGATCAGGGTTTTCATTTTTATTCAAGGAATAATTATTGGAAATTCCAAGGATTTCATCGATTTCCTCTTTTGAAAGATTCGGTAAGTTGACTGCATCGTCTGCGTTTGCGATCATTGAAATTGTATCATCGAGGTCAAGTTCCATGGGGTTAATTTCCACACGAGAAAGTGCATCAGCGTTAGTGTTTAATTTGCCTTTTTTGTATACAATTTCGTAGTCGTACTCTTCAAGTTTAAGTCTCCATCGGATCAGTTTAGAATTTGGGTCTTTTAGAGAAAATAGCCATTGTAGGGGTTTATGATCACTAATTATTCTGAATTTGACTCCGAATAAATATGGTCTGAAATATTTGGCTGCCCATACGATAGCAAGAAGTTCCTTTTCTATAGTACTATAATTGATCTCTGAAGGATTCAGGGTTCGAGAGGCATAGGCGACTGGAAGGTCGTTACCTACAGGGCCTTGAGATAAGATTGCTCCTATGGCAAAGTTAGATGCATCCGTAGTTAAGTTGAAGGGCTTTGAGAAATCGGGATATTGGAGAATGGGGTCATTCATTAAGATTTTCTTGCAAGTATTGAAAGAATTGATGAATTCGGGGCTGTGTTCGACCTTTTGATTTTTTTTAAGGCAGTGCGTCATGGGCTTTGTTAACTTCGCAAAATCCTTTATAAATTTGCGGTAATAGCCGACTAATCCCAGAAAGGACTTTATTTCCTTGGGGGTTTTTGGAATTGGGAAATTTTCAATTGCTTTCAATTTTTTTGGATTGGGTTTTATACCTTCAGGTGTTATTATATGGCCTAAAAATTCGACAGTTTTGCACAAGAATTCCGATTTGTCGAGCTGAATTTTAAGTCCAGCGTCTCTTAGTCTTCCAAGGACTTGTTCTAGATTATTTATGTGTTCTTGAAGAGATGTCGAACATATTATTATGTCGTCCATGTAGACAAGACATTTTTTTCCTTGAAGGCCTTTTAGGACATCGTCCATTACTCTCTGGAAGCTCGAGGGGGCATTTTTGAGTCCGAAGGGCATTCTTAGGTACTCATAATGTCCATTTTCGACATTAAAGGCGGTCTTAGAGACGGAATTTGGGTGCATTTCGATCTGGTGAAAGCCAGAGGCTAGGTCAAGAGTGGTGAAGTATTGGCACCTTCCAAGTTTGTCTAGGATGTCTGTGATGTTGGGCAAAGGATATCGGTCGTCAATTGTTTTTTCGTTCACCTTCCTGTAGTCGACAACTATTTGCCATTTCTGTTTACCACTGGCGTCAATCTTCTTTGGGACGATCCAAATGGGGGAACTCCAGGGGGATTGTGATGGTCTAATTATTCCGTCTTCAAGCATTTTTTATATTTACTTTTGGACTTCAGCTTTATGTACAAAGGGGTATCTATAAGATTTGGTATAGATGGGTATGTCGTCTGTTGTCTTGATTTCATGTTTGATTTTGCTAGTGAATGTAAGTTTCTGGTTGGGTTGATGTAATATTGCTTTATACTTTGAAAGCAGATTTTTTAAGGCTGTTTTTTCCTCAGGGTTCATGTGATCGGTTCGAATCAAGGAGGTCAAAAGTGTCGTCTCCTGGTGTGAATGAAGGGGATAGTTGTTCTATGTGAAAAGACTCGTAATGAATTTCATGGTATTCCTTTGCGAACGGGGTTAAAAAATCTTGATCTATTTCTATTAGCTCTGATTTTTCTGTCGGATTAGAAAGTTCTAAGGTTGTTAATCCGTTCTCGATTTTTAAAAGTGAACTTGGTATGTTGATGACATTGTTACTAAGATCGGGTATTAAAATTTCACCGTCTGGTAATTCGGTTTTAATTTGCTTTAAAACTGTTGTGAAAGCAGGAATTTCAATTTTCTGGTAATCGAATTCCTGTCGGTAATGAAGAGGAATCATTACGTTTTCATTAAAAAGCATTTTATTAGTAGTGTCTATGTTTAGTTTAAGTTTTCTTAAGTCGCGTATTCCTATAATGCCGTCGAAATAATCGTGGAAGTTATATAGTAGAAATTCTATATTACCGACTAGAGGTTGAAATTCTGTGAACAGAGGGATAATTGCTTTAGAATTTGAATTACTTTGTCCTGTACAAGGTCAAGTTACGATTGGTGGTTATTATCGCTAATAATTACAGGGTTTCTAATTCCTCGTATCTATTCATTTTCTTCTTTTGAGATGCATTACATTTCTTTTGCTTAAATAGCTTCTGTGTGGGGTCAATATTTGCCTGGGGTTGTTTGTCTTGGTTGATTTTCTCTAGGCTTGTTCTTTGTTTATTTTCTAGTTTTTCGAGTATAAGTTTGTTCAAGGTTTGGATATTATCTACATGGTCCTGCATATATTGGGTTATTTTATCCTTTTCTGATATTTCAAAGGGATTCTTATAATTTAGTTTCCCTCGTATTATTTGGAAAGGTGTATAATCGGTTGCACTGTGGATTGAATTATTGTATGACAGAAGGGCATAGTTTACTAGAGTCTCAATCGATTCGTTAGGTTTGGTGTTTTTTAGGGTCGTTATAGTCTCTGCTAAAGTTGAGTGGAATCGTTCGACGGGACTGTTACTATTAGGATTGTATAGAGTAGTGTAATGATTTCAATTTCGTGTGTCTTACATAGGCTTTGAATAACTTCGTTTTTTAATTCTGTTCCGTTATCCATGGTTATGCGTCTAGGGAGACCGAAATGGTTAAAGAATTGAAGGAGTTTGTTTGATATTTCAATTGCGTTTGGGGATTTTATACTTGACTAAATTTCGAGAAGCTGTCTGTTATCGTCAGAAAATATTGTCCGTGTGTTTTATATGTGTCCATATATAAGTGGTCAAATGGTTCATAACCTAGAGGAGTGGATTTAAAGACTATTTTTGTTGGATGTCTCTCGTATTTTGATTTTTGGCATATTTCACAAGTATTCACATAATCCTTTACGTCTTTGTCTAAGTTTGGCCAATAATATACTCTCCTGATTGAATTTAAGTTTTCTTGAATGCCACGGTGACTTGTTTTAGTTTCATGATATTGTTGTAATCTGAGTTTTTGTTCGTCTTCATCTATGACGTCTGTAAGCATAGAGTTAGAAATATGTAAGGTGAAGCTGTTATTTTTGAAGTAATTTTGGAATATTCTGATTAGTGGCGGTTCGAGTTCTTTATCTTTGAAGTAGAAACAATAGGTTTGTTTTGGAACCATGTTTTCTTTGATGAACTTGGTAAAAAGTTCATCATTTCTTGTTTTTGAAACTGTAAGGTGTATTCTAGTTTTATTGAAAATAGTCTCTCTATGAACCTTGTAATATAATGGGTCTTTTTGGCTAGAGATTATTATTTGATTTTTATAAGTGTTAATACTTTTTTCTGTATAGGTAGCGCCTATTATGGGGTCGCTGTGGCTTGAATGAGCTGTTTCATTATCTGTATCTTCAGTGGTATTCGTAATTGGGGCAGATTCATTGCTTCCTGTTGCTGGGTGAATTGTATTATTCGCGGGTTTTATAACGACATTTTCGCGAATGACTACCTTTGAAGTTTGATCAGGGTTTTCATTTTTATTCAAGGAATAATTATTGGAAATTCCAAGGATTTCATCGATTTCCTCTTTTGAAAGATTCGGTAAGTTGACTGCATCGTCTGCGTTTGCGATCATTGAAATTGTATCATCGAGGTCAAGTTCCATGGGGTTAATTTCCACACGAGAAAGTGCATCAGCGTTAGTGTTTAATTTGCCTTTTTTGTATACAATTTCGTAGTCGTACTCTTCAAGTTTAAGTCTCCATCGGATCAGTTTAGAATTTGGGTCTTTTAGAGAAAATAGCCATTGTAGGGGTTTATGATCACTAATTATTCTGAATTTGACTCCGAATAAATATGGTCTGAAATATTTGGCTGCCCATACGATAGCAAGAAGTTCCTTTTCTATAGTACTATAATTGATCTCTGAAGGATTCAGGGTTCGAGAGGCATAGGCGACTGGAAGGTCGTTACCTACAGGGCCTTGAGATAAGATTGCTCCTATGGCAAAGTTAGATGCATCCGTAGTTAAGTTGAAGGGCTTTGAGAAATCGGGATATTGGAGAATGGGGTCATTCATTAAGATTTTCTTGCAAGTATTGAAAGAATTGATGAATTCGGGGCTGTGTTCGACCTTTTGATTTTTTTGGAGGCAGTGCGTCATGGGCTTTGTTAACTTCGCAAAATCCTTTATAAATTTGCGGTAATAGCCGACTAATCCCAGAGAGGACTTTATTTCCTTGGGGGTTTTTGGAATTGGGAAATTTTCAATTGCTTTCAATTTTTTTGGATTGGGTTTTATACCTTCAGGTGTTATTATATGGCCTAAAAATTCGACAGTTTTGCACAAGAATTCCGATTTGTCGAGCTGAATTTTAAGTCCAGCGTCTCTTAGTCTTCCAAGGACTTGTTCTAGATTATTTATGTGTTCTTGAAGAGATGTCGAACATATTATTATGTCGTCCATGTAGACAAGACATTTTTTTCCTTGAAGGCCTTTTAGGACATCGTCCATTACTCTCTGGAAGCTCGAGGGGGCATTTTTGAGTCCGAAGGGCATTCTTAGGTACTCATAATGTCCATTTTCGACATTAAAGGCGGTCTTAGAGACGATATTTGGGTGCATTTCGATCTGGTGAAAGCCAGAGGCTAGGTCAAGAGTGGATTCAGGCTCTGTGTTTTCGGAATAGTAATTATTTTCTTCATATTCGTTGGATTCGTTGTATTCTACAACAGGATTGTCATCGGGTTGGTCAGTTTCCACATTGGTTAATTCCTGGAATGTGAAGTTTGGAGGTCCAGTTCGTTGGAAATGATTTCGTGGTGCCTGATTGTTAAAATTTCTTGTAGAGGGTAATCTACTTGTGGTTGACATAGGTTCTGCTTTACCTTGGGGTTTGTGAGAATTTTTCGGTGAAAACACATTTGTTGGTTTGCCAAATACTTCCTTGTTAGTGAAGTACTTAGGTTGAACCGGACGTGGTTCCATTTTTATAGGTTTACTAGGGAATTTTAAGTTCGGAAAAGAGCTTTGTTGTTGGGGATTCCTGTAAGAATTATTTTGGTTCTGCACCTGGTTTGAGGTATAGGTAGGAGTATTTTGTACATATCTTGGTTGGTAATTGGTGTTATTATGATTTGTATTACTGTTGTATGCTCTGATGTTAGTATTATTGTGATTGGGTTTATTTACAAGTTTCTGGTAAGATTGTTGTCTCAGGTTGATTTGTTGTTCTAATAAAGAGTGGTTTAAAACTAAAGACGTCGCGTCCTCGATATTTTTGGGATTTTTTAACGTTAATAATGTTCTAAGTTCAGTATTGCAATTAGCCATCAAAACTGTAACTGCTGTTACTTCATTTTGATCTATCAATACTAATTTTGTTTGATCATTGATATCTAGGTCTGAATTAATTTTTAAGTTGAGACGCATTTTTGAGAATTTTAGTCGTTCTAGAAATTCTGCAATGTTTTCATTTCTATTTTTTGTTAAATAAATGAATTGTTGCTGTAAAACGTGACGATCGACTTTGTCGCCATACTTTTCTCGTAAGGCTTGTCGAATTTGTGGCCAGGTTTCTAGATCTGGTCTGCACAATAAAAAGTCGCCAGCTTCGTCGATAATTTTCGAACAAATTGAAGCGAAAACGAATTCATTTAGGTTATTATCGGTCGTTTGACCATATCTAGCATGAAATTTGTCAACTGAATTAATGAAAGATTCTAGGTGATCACTACGACCAGTGAAATTCCTAAGAATTCGTGCAATTTCTTTTGCTGCCTGGATAGTTGGCACAGTAAAACTGATATTTCCAAGATTTCTAGGCAGAGCTTCAGCGGTGGCTGCTGGTTGTGTCATTGTTATTTAATAAGTATAAAGAGAAAATTGTAAAAATAATTGAGAATAATTTAAGATTTTTGAGACAGAATATGCCTATAATTATTGGTATTAAGGAAAAGTGCGGGAAAAATAGAAGGAACTCAACACTTACTTGAAGTCCTCAGAGTCTTTCCTTGTCCCTGTTTTCTCCAGACGAATGGTTGAAACCAACGACGAATTGCAAAATACTGCGATTTTCAGGAATTCGCCTTCTGGAATTTCTACCGACTGCGCCAGTTAAGTTTCTCGTTTACGCGAAACCGTAAAAAAAAACTTTTATTTTTGAAATTAGGTTTACAAACTTATGCTAACAGTAGAAAGTCTTCAGTAACACTAACTTAACTTCTAAGGTTGATTACACACTTATATATTGGAAAAAGTCATAAATATATCGTTAGAGTAAATACTTTAGAAAGTAGATGCATTATCTTAACATTAAGTAAATAATAGTGGAAGATTTTCAACTACATAACTCACGGTATGTCTGTGGAGGGCGGCCTGTACATGCATGAAATACCAAAGCTTATATTATTTATGCTTAAATTGATTCTGCTCAGAGTAACACCAGAGAAGTTTAATTTTTCATAAGATATTTTGTAGTTCAGTGTGGCTTTAATGAAAACTATTGTTTCATCATTTTGATTAAGATTTGCATTATTATAGTGCATTATGTAGCCATCAATGTTGAACTTTTCATTATTTATTTGCCAAGTCTCAGTAAGTACAATTATGTCACAGAAATTAAGGCTATATGCCTCAAGCAGAACTACCAACTCATTAAAATTTTTACGCATGCTACGAATATTAATATGTAAGATATTGAAAAGTTTAGTTTTTATTTGAATTTTGTGTTTTAGCACAATCAATACTTTCCTCAGAAATAGTATCATCACGAAGATCGAGTTCATCTAGGATTTCGACTTCTTGACTATCCATTACCAGCATAGTCAATTTTGCTCTTCAGTACATTTATTAAGTAGAGATAGGATGGGCAGAGTGGATCATTCGCTGCATGTTCAGTCTCGTAGT